TTGTTGGCCTCCACAGCCATGCAGTTGCGTTGCCCGCGGCCGACTTCCCCGAGCTCAAACCCAATTCCATTTACTTCACGGATGCAAATTTAGATGCGTCGATTGAGGAGTATAAAGATTGCCTAACTGGGGGCCATGACATTGGCATTTTCAATTATGAGAACAAGACTGTGTCGCCATGCTATTTTCCATGTGATGCTCAGAACCTCAGGAAGACTTACCCAGGGCCTATGTGGTTCTTCCCAAGTCGTGAATGATGCCATATATACTGATTAATGGTTTTTGTTACATAATTATTTCAATTTTAAATTTTAAAGGCTTCGAATTTTGATAAATTAGATTACTCATTTTTTGTGCAGAGTTGGAGAAACTTGAGAACCAAGTAATAGATGGATTCGTTCATTCATTCATCATAGGCTTAATGTACATACCCACGTAAAGGTTCCGGGAGATCAAGCCTAAGTACCATTTAGGCTTAAACCTCAGCTTCTTCACAAGTAAAGGTTTCTATCATGTAAAAACCGGCATCGCATATATCTGCACGAGTATATAACCAAACAAACACATATTACTTGTCTTGTCCTACAACCAAATACATGTATATACATATCTATATATATATGCAAGAAAAAAAAAAAAACACTTCATTCTGCACGTCGGGTTCCTTTGCCTACCGAATCCCCTCAAGCAATCGTAGAATAACTTCATAACACAAAGTTCAAAATTCATCAAGATTTTTCAAACGGGAGATATTGCTCGACCCAATCCATTATCACACGTGTTGTTTCGACCCAATCCATACTTTAATCAGACCCGATATTGCTCGATTTTGTGGCATAAGGCCGCATTAAATCCAACCGATTCTTTAAGTCTAGCCCAAACAGTCAGAAGCCCACTTATGCTCTTCCCCAACAGGCAAACAGGAAGCTAAACTAGAAGATCTAAAATGTTATTCGAGCTTAGTCGACTAGCTCATAATCTTGCCCGTTTAACAAAATGAATCAACTTGGCTTTATACTCTCTCCCTCTCTCTCTCTCTCTCTCTCTCTCTCTCTCTCTCTCTTTCTGTGTGTGTGTGTGTGTTATCTGATTGTTCGATTAGTATTGTGAACCGGTTGTATTTGTTCTCTCTTATCAGTTGTCTGCAATAAATTTTTTTGGGAAACTGAATGTCGATATGGTTTATGATATATCTTTCTCTTTAATGTGTTGGCTAGAGAAATTGGTTCTCGTTGGTGAAGTAAAGCGCAATTTCGATTGCGTTGGCAGTTGGATTGGTCACGGGATTGCCTGAGTTTTGGATATTCTTAGGAGAGGCCAATGCAACTAATATTGCTCCGGCACTACCATATGTGTCGGTTTTGATTTCAGGTCCGCCAATAAAAGGATCCTGGGGAATTGTTGAGGTATGCATTTGCCTGTTCTCAATAAGTCTTATCAGGGAAATTCAGAAGCCGCTTGAGGATATTACTAAAAGTCTGAAGATTCAAAGCCCTTGATTATGTCGAGNAGGTTGAGGAACCGTAGCTCATTTTATGATTAGTATCTTCTTTTGTCTCCTTGTCTTTAAATGGCATCTTACTTTTGAAATGTGTGTTGGTATTTGATTCTTCTATTGCTTGTGCTTGGGATGCAGAATGTTAGGCTATCCAGCAAGGCAAAACATTGATAGCTGGAGGTCTGGCTAAGTCGAAGGCCGATGATAGGGCTACTTAACTAGGTTAGAGGGTGGGTATAGATAGTTGTTAATTTCTTAATCATTTCATATTTGGACTTGAAGGTGTTGGAATTGCAATGTAGTTTGTACAGTTATATTTGAAGAGCTGGCTGTAATAACTAAAATTTCTTTAAAATAGTATGTATATTTTTGGGGCGATAGACCTTTTTGTTTAAGTTGTGAATCGAGGTAGATCATGGAAGCGCAGACTTTTATGTTTTATTGTCTATACTTAAACACCTTGGTTCATGAATGATGGAAGCTATACATTTGATGTACATTTGGAATGTTGACGAAGAAATTTGTACCAACTCCTCCTTAGGTCCAGAGACTGGTTAAAGAAATTCTTCCTAAATTATGCTTGTCTCATTCAAGTCCTTGTCATGAATTGCAGCTGAGGTCTTCCTGGGGCATTGGGTAATTTTCTGCAGTGTTGAAAAGGATGTGGTCGATGGCTTTCCAAATGAACTGCCAGAAGAATATAAAAATATGTCATTACTAAAGGGGAGAGCTACTATGGATATGAGGGTCAAGGTCAAGGACAACCCTAACCCGGATGAATGCGTATTTCGCTTAGTGTTGGATGGCTATGATCCAAAGTGGTACATGCTTGAAGAGATAATATGTCAAACACCATTCCTAAACAGAATTTGCTTATAGACATTGACTTTGATGACACTTACAAATTGGTTCTTTTCTAGCTGATGGCTTTGTTGTACAAACGGGAGATCCTCAAGGACCCGTTGAGGGCTTTATTGAACCTAGCGCAGAAAAATTCCGTACAGTCCCATTGGAAATTATGATGAATGT